CAGTCTATTCAGTTCTTAGAGAGTGCCTTCTCCCCAGGCCCTCCTAAATACAGCTGGGTTGCACCTACAGGAGCTCCTCTCCCTTCCACTACCAGGGTCCTTCCACCAAGCACTTCCTGCTGTTTGGCTTATGTAACTCAGTTTATACAGCTAAGCCATCTGTCTTAGAGAGACAGTTCCCTCTCTCTTTCTCTTGCTGTCTCTCTCACTCTTTCTGTCTTAAGAATGGGGCTAGGGGCTTCCTGTTACAATTTAGCAGTCCACTGGGGAATTTTACCAATTCATTTTCTCTCTTTAACCACCTGTACTTAATTTATGAACGTGTTGCTCGTAAACCTTAGAACTCATGTAAAGTATTGATTGGTTTACAAATAGTTTATCTGGAGTATTCGTAAGAATGCTGCCTTAAAAATGTTAAGGGTGGCTTTGTTTTGATTTCAGTTTACTGAAAATGGATTGGGAAAATCATCACTTTTAATGTTTTTAATATGAGTTGTAGCAGGTTCCAGCTGAAATCATTATGTCCTCAATGGATGTTTTAATAGGCTGGACAAGAGAACACTTGTCTCATGAGATACTTATCTGTTCCTAATGAAACAGTTTGAACAAATGAATGCAAACCACCTACTGGATTTTGCACTATATTTAAATCCCAGTTATAAAGCTGGTTTGTAGGAATGTTCCCTGTGGGGTTATTATCTAAGGCCAGAGCTGTTTCTACACTGGAGGCTAGAACTATATTCAGTTAAAACCTTATTTATGATTAACAGGTTCTCTGTGAGGTTTTTCTTCCTTTTTGGTAATTTTTGTGGAATTAATTTTAATTGATTGATCTCCTCTCTCTCCCTACTTCACTTCAGCTTCATTTCATGTACAGTAACTAAAGCTTTTTCTCTACATGCAGAAAAGTCACTACTTTTCTTGTTCCTTGTATAAGTCTGTGAAAGTCTCTGAAGTGTGAATAGAGACTACAAGACCTCCACCTAAGATGCAGTATTACTTCAGATTCAGACCCACCTCTGACTTGGTGATGTTGAGTCTCTTATCCTGTAAGTATCTGTAAGTCTTATCTATAAAGGGGGATAGTATTTCCCTATCTCACAGGACTTACAAGAGAAGAATGATTGTAAAATATTAGAAGTACAATGTGTTATACACACACAAGGCAAAATATTAGTTCATAGGATCATAGGAAAGTATAGCTGGAAGGAACTTGACAAGGTCATCTCATCCAGCCCCCTTCTCAAGGCAGGATCATCCCTGACTAAATCCCAGGCGAGTTTCTGTCCAACCTGCTTTTGAAAGTTTCCAAGTATGGAGATTCCACAACTTCTCTGGGTAGCTTGTTCCAGTACGTGTCCCCTCGCGTAGTCAGAAAGCTCCTCCTAATCGCCAACCTAAGTTTTTCCTGCTGCAGGCTGAGGCCATTGCTCCTAGTCCTGTCCCCTACAGCCACAAAGAAAAGTCCATCTCCATTTTGCCTATAATCACAGTTCAGGTATTTGAAAACTATTATCAGATCCCTTTTCAGTCTTCTCTTCTCCAAGCTAAATAACCCTAGCTTTTTCAGTTTTTACTCATAAGTCTTTCCTCCAAGGCTCTTAATCATGTTGCCCTGAACAGGACGCTTTCCAAACTGTCCATATCCTTCTTGAAGTAAGGAGCTCAAAACTGGCCACAGTACTCCAGCTACACTGTTGTAGGCCTGATACCATGTTTAATGCCCTGGTGTTTATAAAATGTGAAGGTCCATTGTGAATGAAAAGAAGCCTAAAGACTTCTGCCATTTGACCTCTCTTGGGATTGGTATGTTGCTATGTGGTCATCAAAAGAAAGCAGACACATTCTCACATGCATGTGTAATGAAGGCAGCAGCAAAAGTTTGGGCTAAGTAGGTGGCCATAGGGCAATGAGAGAGCCCGCAAAAGGCATGAAAAGATTTCTAGAAGCTGATGTTTCAGTATCTAGAACAAATTCTGTAAAACACGTGCCCCCAGATATGTTAGAGGTTACCAAGTTATCTCATGGCACTAGGGAGATAGACACTTGTGTCTCAAAAGTTCTGAGGATGAAAACAGCATTGAATCTTTTAACCATCATGGGACTGTAGGACAGCAAATTTGTGGTGGGGAGTAGAAAATAAATATCCTGAGATATTAATAACATTTAAAAATGCATGGAAAATTATCCTTTGTCTTTAGTGTTTCTCACCCAAGGATATAAAGGTGTACAGGGCAAATGTAAAGTTTCTCTACATTTCATCTCATGTATTGTAGGAAAAGGGTTGAGTTCAGCCCACATTTCACAATGGTATAGACAGCAGTAGAACCTCAAAGGGTTGGGCTTTGATGCACCATTGGTAGATCTGGATTTCCTTGCAAGTTTAAATCTATTGGAATGAAAGAGAGAACCAGTTTAGATAAAGACAGATAAACTCAATCCAACCCTTTAAACATGTGAAGAAAACTGCTGTGATATGCAACCTGACTAGCCTTGGGGTTTATTTTAGTATTTTCCCTAAGTTCAGCAGTTACCTTTCATAATAATCCTAGCTAGAAGCACTTTTTGTAACATTGGCAAAGGTGGGCTTATGTGCTAGTGCTGTTATGTTTGGCCCATAAAACTACCTTCACGCTCAATAGTATGACTAGACCTTTGTGCTAGATTAAAGAGTTATTTGTGGTGTTTTCTTAAGATCCTACTCTTTCTCTGCACCCTGTCTTTATATATTATGGATGAAAATTTTTTAAATCCATATCAAAAAATGTGTCTGTCTTTTTATGCTTTTCTTGATTTCTGGGTGATTTCTTGGTGCACAGGAGAAAGGGAGAAAGAGTAGGATTTTTTTTTAATTATTTATGTGTCCTTAAATTCCTTCTCCTGGAGTCATTTTTCAAGTCAAGAAAAATACCACTGGATGGAATGTGTGCCTTTCCAGTTGATGCAAATGTAGATGGATGAGGAAATTAAATGTATTTATTTATGGTATGCCTAACATGTTTCAGCAGTACGTGAGTTAAAAGCCTGCCAGATACCTTTGTATTCCCTCACATATCTTGGCAGTGACACAGTATGTATATTAAATATAAAAACCTATGGTAAGATGTGGGCTTTTTGGAGCCCTAATTGTAATAAATTATTCTGTGTTGAATTGTACTTGCTAGCATCAGACTAATTGCTTTCCAGGGTGATGGAGGACGTAAGTCAGGCAGCTCTCATGGAACAAATTTTTAATTTCAAAGTTCTCCTGTCTTCCAGCATATTGGTTTTCAGACTGTTTGAAGGTAGTGTCTCAGTTTCTCCACTTTTCTTAAAGTGTCAGGAGTAATTTTGAACTTTGCAGTAAAGCTCCCTGAGATCCTTGGGTGAAGGTTGTTATGTAAGTACAACTTATTATTTATGCACTGTACTTACACCATTGGAACTGCATCCCCTTGTGATTTGAGGACTTCGTTGAGGGGGCCAATACTTTTTTGACAGACTTTGAAATACCACAGGAACTTGCTGACAAGAAAGGTCTTCCACAAGAGATAAGCAGCTGATGTATTATAACTTTGGTTACCTTCCCTCCCAGTGCCAATGTACCCTGATGCTGGAAGCTGCAGGATGAAGGCAATATGCACATAGAGTGAATTGTGCCAGTGCTACCTTTGCTAGGAAGATGCAGGACATGTGTATACTGATTGTTAGGGTCTGCCTCTCTCAAGCCTACCCCCCAACCTTCTACATTGAAAATGTATATACTCAGGCCTTGGCTGTCAGGTGTCCAGTAGGCCCTCAGAGCTCTGCTGAACTTCCAGGTATGAGGCTAACCTCACCCTTCCTTTCAGTTTGTTTTGGAGTTAACTCAGGCATGCAGGCCTTGAACACAGAAAGTCCACCAGCCACAATTGCATAGGTCCCTGCTCCTGCTATCCAACTCTTCTGCACTATGCTTCCTCACTCTCTCCTGGCCATGGGCACATTTGTATGTCACTTAAGCCCACAGCTTCAGTGGCCTGTCTTTTCTGAAAAGAAGAGGTAAAAGGACACTTTCTTTCATGCCTTCCCAGACTGTCCCTGGCTGCAGCCACTCTTTGCTGTCCTCGGTGCCCTCTCAGGCATGCTGGATTTGGACTTCTCTGAGACTCTATGCATCTTCTCTATCCCATACCATGCAGATGAGGGGAGCATGATCTGCCTGGCCAATTTCCAACTGGGCCAGGCCCAGATGCTGACTCTAAAAAGCCATAAAAACTAGCGCACAGAGGCTAGCTCTGATAATGCCCTCCAACTCTTCTGCTTCTTGGTCCAGGTGCATGGCACATTTGATTTTGTAACAAAATGCATATCAGTTTGTGTCACACTGGGCCATGAAGATGGCAGTCTGTAAACTGGAAGATGGCCAGCTAGTCCTAAATGTCTATCTCTATGAAGGGTATGGTGGGGCAGGAGGTCATATGGAGTTTTTGTTACTGACAAGTGTTACATGCTCAGCTCCTGTTGAGCATTTTTACCTTTTGTTTTTAACATTTTTATCATAAAGGTTTAGAAAACCAGAAAGAAGTCTCTCTCTCACACACACTGTCCCCTTCTACCTCTCCCCCATAACCAGTCGGGTAATCTACAGACTGATTTATAGGATTTAATAGCAATAATAACAAGAAGCACAGTGTGGAGAACTTGAAGGCTGATTGCACAGTGTGATACAGGCAGATTATGTGGCCCAGGTTGTCTGACAACTACTCTGGGATCAGCCCTATTCATCAGTGTAGACATAGCCATAGTGATTTTGTCTACATCTGCGTGCTTCTTTGTTGACATCAAGAGGCTGGAAATAACAAGATATGGCCATTTGTGTAAAGAATCTTTAGCAATATTACAGAAACCCACAAGCAAAACTTTCCCACATAGCAATTTGTAGGTAAGAAAAAGAGTAGGAAATGTGCCTTCCAGAAATCAATTCCCTGTGAATACATTTCTTCCATATGAAAAAAAATTCCTTCCTTTTTGTTGAACAGGTTTTATACAGTTCGCTACAGAGAAAAGGATAAAAACAAGAAATGGGCTTTTCAGCTTTGCCCAGCTACTGAGACAGTGGTGGAAAATCTGAAGCCCAACACACTATATGAATTTGGAGTTAAAGACAACACAGAAGATGGGATTTGGAGCAAGAGTTTCAATCACAAGACTGTTCTATCTAGTAAGTACTTAACAACATTTCAGCTTACCAAAACTATACAATTTGTCAGCACTCTTGTAGTACATACTTTTTAAGGAAGTCAGTATCAACCAGCTTGTCAGTTTGATGGGTAGTCAGTAGGGCTGTGCAAAATGTCACCAGTTGTTTTGTTTCAACACTGTTTTGACCTATTTCAAGCTCATGAGAAGGCTGTAGTAGAGGGGTAGAGGCAAGCGGCTCAGCTGAGTCCACTCCTCCTGTTGCTGTGCCTCTGTCTGATGAGGAAGAGAAAATTGCAGCGCCCACACATGCCCCCGCACCCCAGAAGTGAGTGGGTAGTGTGTTCTGGGATCATTCTAAGCTGGCAGATGATCCCACTTATACTATGGGCCTGCACTGCCAAGCCAAAACCAGACAGAGCAAGGGAACAAAACTCATGAGCACCATGGGGATGCTGATTCATGTTCGCAGGCACCACCTCCTTTCCCTTGCTCCTCCTCAGCCTGGCACCAGTGGGCCCAAAAAGAAGTCTCCCTCTTGCTCCAAAGCCCCCATCCACCCAAAACAGAGGCAGGCCACCCTGGAACAGTGGGGGAAAGGTGGACAGAAATGGGGGCACGTTGCAAGGGTGAGTGAGATCAGCCAGAGCGCTGGAGAGATGCTTGCTCTGGATAGCCAGCGCTTCTCCTTAGTTGAGTGGCCAGGGTTCAGGTGGCTCATGGCACTTGTGGCCCCATTATACCAAGTGCCTGCATGTACCACCTTCAGGAGGATAATGGTGCCTTTACCGTATAAGGCATGCAGGGAGTATTTGAGGGAGGAGCTGTGCAAGACAGGTCCACAGGTGGCCTTACATTTCACCTCAGACATCTGGAGCACCCGGGGTGGAGATCATGCCTACTTCTCTCTCACAGGGTGGTGTGACTAGTCAGGCTGTTGGTGGGCTCTCCTTCAAGCTGAGGTGATGGATGAGTCCCACACAGCAACCAAGATAATGGGGGCCATGAACCTCTTGGTGCAGGTGTGGCTCAATGGGCAGAACGAGCTCACCCGTGAGTTCATGGTCACTGACAATGGGGCCAATATGATCAAGGTGGTCTGTGATGCCAACTTTGTTGGCATCTGCTATGTGGTACACAAGTTCTACCTCTTTGCCTGGGATGCCTTGGAGGGAGACAGGGCTGCTGGTGATGGCACCAGCACCACCAGCAAGATCATTTCGAAATGCAGGAAGGTTGCAGGCTACTTCCACCAGATCATTAAGGTGGGCAAGATGCTGTGGGACAAACAGGCAGAGCTGAACATCCTACAGCTCAAAATCATGCAGGATGTGGAGACTTGGTGGAACTCCACATACCTGATGTTTGAGAGGCTGGTGGAGCAACAGAAAACCATCCATGATATGGCCTTGCTTGGGGAGATTGGGATCAGTGGCCCCCTGAACAGAGCTGAGTGGGATACCATGTCCCAGATCTTGGTGGTTCTCAGGCCCTTCCTCGAGGCCACTGAGACCCTCAGTGCTAGCGATGCCCTCCTTAGCCAGGTGATCTCCATAGCAAGGGAACTTGAGAGCCAAATGGAGAGCTTCCAGGGGATCAGTGTTTGTGGCTGGGGCAAGCCACTGTCACCAGACATGGAGGCACTGGTGAGGTGGGTGAAGGAGGGCATCAAGAAATGGCTTGATCCCTTCCGGTCCAATATGGTCCATGTGCTGGCTGCCATGTGTGACCTGAGGGTGAAGGGCAGCAAATGCAGCAGCCAAAGCCTGAATCAGTGGACAGAGGTTCTGGTGAACAGAGTCAGGGAGGCAGAATGGTGGAGGCAGGATGTGGAAGAGGGGGATCCACTGTCCTATGCCAGCACACCATCCACCAGCCAGTCTCCTCCTCCACCACAGGTGCTGCCAATGTGGGCCAAGGGTATGGCTCCCATGGTGGGGCCCAGAGGCACCAGGCCCCACAATCAGGCAGGTAGTGCTCAGGCCTTGGTGGCTGCCTATCTCACTGAGGACATGAAGCTGCTGCTGTGGGACCCCTTGGCCTACTGGGCAAGCCACAGTCAGATGTGGCAGGATCTGGACACAGTTGCCCAGGAACACCCGTCTTGTCTACTGATCAGTGTTCCAAGTGAGAGGGTGTTCAGCATTGCTGGTGATGTAGTGACACCCCACTGTACCTGCTTGGATCCTGGTTTGGTGGAGCAGCTGGTGTTCCTGAAAGTGAACCTCCCACTGCTGGGGTTTCCCAAGCTCCAGGGACAGATGGAGTGAATGCCACCCTCCTCACTCTGTCTACACCTATTTCCTTTTTCCTTTTTTAAAAACGATTTAATGCCCTGCTGTCAGAGCTGGAAGGGGCATTCACTGCATCACCAGCCAGCAGAGGAAAAATATGTCCCTGCTGAGCTCCTGTGCCAGGACAAACTTGGAGGTATGGACTGGGGCTATGGGGTAGGAGGAGGCCCCAGGTCTTAGGCATGACCAGTAAAACTGCACTCTGTCAGGGTCAGGAGGCCTGGTGGGACAGCTGGGAGATTGAGAGGAGGTGCCCTGTTGGACCTGGTCCTGGCCGCAGGC